GACTTAATTTTGTTTGTTTGCCTGTTTCTTTAATTGCTTATAATTCTTGTATTCATTTAGAACTCTTACGTTATTTGATATTCTCTACTTTGTTTCTATGTGCACTCCGAGTACAGCTCACTCATCAAACTATTCATATTATTACGTAACTCCTTTCTAACAACTGTTTGTGACAACTCATCACCTTTGTTACTACCATAATTTCATTAACACCCAGTTTTCTTGACCGTTTTTGTATTACGTAACTCCACTCAAAACTTACTAATTCTCACCTGTTTAGTTAAAATAACCATAACCAATTGTATTTTTGTTTGACAAACTTAATGTACACATGCATACAAAATAACTCATATATTTGCGATTGTACAGCTAAGAAAATGAATTCGCCGCCGAAAAGAAACTCTTCGCTGAACTACGTGTTTTATTTTCATTAATGCCTGGATGGGGATTATCCATGAATTCTGTAATATAAAAATAAGCGGATTTCGAACAGCTCATCATATAGACAGTCACTAGTAGTAGTATCAGTATTATTATTATTATTATTATTAGTAGTAGTAATGGTGATATGTAAACCTACAGTGTAATTAGTTTATATATTGAGGCATATATTATTAACAAAGGTAGTTAGCAAAACGGAAACAACCAACAGAATTAGAATAATAAATTAATTAAGTCATGATGTGTATTGGTATACTATACTAGATTAGAAAACAATACCAAGAACATGTGATTGATTGTCACACTATCACATTAAATAATATAAGAATGTCAGAATGTTTATCCGTTAGGCTTAAATCATTGAGTGACCAGAATTTCCATCCATCAAAATGACTAAACTTTTCTTAATTTCTTATTGTTTTAATCATTAGAAATTATATCAAATGATCACCACATGAACTGGAGCACATAGTTAATTAGCTTTCAATAAAACTCTGGAGTAAGGATATAGACTGCTGTTGCAAGGTGTTTTCGCGCATAATATAGCAAACGTCACAACAGACATTCTACCTGTGTAAAAAGGTTGACAGAACACCTTTAAAACAGCCAAACGCATCATGTGATACGATGATTACATCACTCCTCTAGTCTCGTAATACAACATGGAGAGGTTCAAGTTGTAACTGACTGCCTCCATCCTACCTATACAAATATACTGAACCGAAAGAGCGGTACGTTTGACTTACGATAGCCTACATCATCACCCAAACGTTGTGAAAAACTTGATGGAAATAAAGAAATTATGTACAGAACTGGTTCTCCTGACATTTACAACGACAACACTACGTCAAATGATATACACACTTCAGATTATTACTTTATATGTAAATCCTGTTGAAGAGGAAAGATTTTGGAACTAAGTAGGCTGAGAATTTCTGTACTATGTGTTCATAAATTGTCTGAAATAAAGATTTATTATTATTACACGACAACTGACTCAAATTCAGCCACAGGCACCCGATTCAATGGCCCATGAATTTTAACTTGTAACAATTCGTGATTTAGCGCTACCACCAACCAGCTGTCCAATACTCCCTGGTTTTCGATGGTTCTCTCACTGATATCGATCCATGGTCAAACTTGTAAAAACAAATTTAATCCTTACAAACCAACCCTTGAAAATTAATCTGATGCTCGCTAGTGATTTGCTACAAGACGGAGTTTCCTGGAGTTCTAGTGAGAAGTTGTGACCAGTGAGGTCCAACCAGTCAAGTTAGAGGATGGATTTCCCACCGATGATATTGGTCGGTGGTTGCGCTAAAACAGATCACGAATTGGTAGTGGTTAGAATTCATGGACTGACCATTGAATCGTGTCCCGGAAAACGAGAGAAAATCCACAAGATTCGAAAACAGTTGCTTTAACATCGAGGACAACATTTCACCAAGTAAAAAGTCGTTTGAACAAAAACATGGTTGTCGTCGAAAACAGTTACCAGTAGTCCTCGCTAACTCAACTAATGTTGTTTAAATACAGAACATCAGATTTCTGCTCTCGTATACATACGTTCATGGATAGAGTATTCGAGGGAATTCTGACCTTAGCTAAATTCTTATGTTCCGACAATATGACTACCCCCAACCAACTAGTCTGACCTAGGTAGTTGACCTCGCTCACAGCCATTGGAAGGTTTTCTGTAAGTTATATTATTATTATATTATTTTATTCAGATGTCTAATCAATTTCATTCATGTATATAAATGAGGTAAAAAGTAGTGTGAGTGACTTGATATGATTATGAGTGGCAATAATTTGTGCTCGAAACGTGATCATCAGTTAATATTACTGTACAACACTGTGTGTGATTTATCAAAATAAAAATCTTATCTACAATGGAGTTGTACTCTACCACAGTACCCAAGTTTTACCTTCTACTGAACTTCATTGAGATACGCTCGTTCACCAAAAGGCCCCAACAACAGTAAAATGACGGTCATCTGAGATGAAATCTACAATACTATTCAACAATGCTAACATACCATGTAGTCAAAACTACCTCAAAGGTGCCTTTAGGCAGCTATACAGATCACACATTTCTCACATTTAGAACAGATACTGTAGAACAGAGTCACTGAACCAAAATCAATCGTAGAAAATACCTGAGAATCAAGTCGAATATTCGAAACAAGGTGGGATCAAATATGTATCAGCAAGAATCACACAGACACACCACCGCTTCCCTCAAACAGTTCAATATCTGAATAACCTTGACTTCAGTCAAACAAAATCACGTCATTAAACAATATCAATATTATCACACAACCACAAAGAGAAGCATTACAATTACAGATTAAACAGGACCGAAGGCAAATAATAAAACAAGCAATAAAGGTTAATAAAGCAGGATTTAATGAATTCATCGAATTTCGGTAGAACTCGTCAGCTGAATACTCTACATACACGGATATATCTATACTTTACAAACCAGGTCTCTGTGTACAAAAGGAGATGGTCGTGACTCTGAATCTGCCATGGTAATACGTTTTACTTATAATTCTACCTCTTATTATTATTATTCTTGATTCATTTAAAACTATCCTTAATCAGTAGCATTATCTTAACTCACTTCAACACTATTATCATTGTTATTATAACTATTACTATTGATATTACTCTGTTTGCAATTCTTGATATATTCTCTAATGACTTATTGTTTATCTAAGTGATGTAATTGAAGCGTAATGCAATTTATCTTAATTTTGATCTCTCATACTCTCTCCCCTTATCTATTTGAACATGACCTGGAAAAACATTCGCACCTGTCTTTCTGCATGACTAATTCAATACAGTTTGTTTACTTATCAGTGGTATGTCTTCCAATGTAATTTCAAAAGTATATACATCCGTGTATGTAGAGTATTCAGCTGAAATTTGATGAATTCATTAAATCCTGCTTTATTAACCCTTGTTACTTACTTTAAATTCGTGTCGGGAAACAAATGTCTAATGAAAACAAAACACGTAGTTCAGCGAAGAGTCTCTTTTCTGCGAATTCATTTTCTTAGCTGTACAATCGCAAACATATAGATGTGTTATTTGTTATGCATGTGTACATTGAGTTTATCAAACAGAAAAATACAATTGGTTATAGTTATTTAAACTAAACTAAACAGGTGCAGATTGGCAATTGGAGTTACGTAATACAAAATCAGTCAAGAAAATTAGGTGTTAATGAAATTAGGGTAGTAACAAAGGTGATGAGTTGTCACGAACAGTTGTTAAAAGAAGTTATGTAATAATATGAATAGTTTGATGATTTGATTTTTGATGAATTAATTTTGTTTCTTTGCATGTTCTTTAATTGCTTATGATTCTTGTTTTTATTTAGAACTCTTACGTAATTTCGTATTATCTACTTTGTTCCTGTGTGTGTATGCTGAGTACGACTCACCCATCAAACTATTCATACTATTACATAACTTCTTTTAACAACTGTTCGTGACAACTCATCACCTTTGTTACTACCCTAATTTCATTAACACCTAATTTTCTTGACTGATTTTGTATTACGTAACTCCAATTGCCAATCTGCACCTGTTTAGTTTAGTTTAAATAACTATAACCAATTGTATTTTTGTTTGATAAACTTAATGTACACATGCATACAAAATAACACATACACATATTTGCGATTGTATAGCTAAGAAAATGAATTCGCCGCCGAAGAGAGACTCTTTGCTGATCTACGTGTTTTGTTGTCATTAATGCCTGGATGGGGATTATACATGAAATAAATGTTTGCAAATTATAAAGGTTGAGTCATCAGATGATCTGCAAATGTCAGAACAATGATATACAGTCCAGGAGAAAAAAGGATAATAATTACAAAGTTAGTTGAATCATCCAAATAAGTTTCAGTATTGTAATTGGACCATTCATGAGAGATTTTCCCAAAGTTTTTTCCATTACAACACATATTCTACACCACTCCTACTTTAAAGTAATGCACACATACTTTCAAATCAATTAAAATATAATATATAATACGGCATCTGAAGTTAATTGGTGGATGGCGAATAGCATTGGAATCCGGGATGCGCATTTCGTCCTATTTGGGACTTGTCAGATGGATGTACCTGCACCATAGTTTCAAACGCCAAAGCGTTATCCACTAGACCACTCGGGCCACGAGAGCCACCTCTTGTGCAACGGGTCATATTAATTATTTAATTGAATTTTAGATTTTCCCGTCGATTGACTGGACCGAAGTGCTCGGTCTCAGGTTGACATGTAGATGCTCGGTCGAAGCATCTGCACAAGAAGCCGACATATCAACCTGAGACCGAGCACTTTGGTCCAATCAATCGATGGGAAAATCTAAAATTCAAGAAAACGATTTTACATATGGCCTATTTTTTGTTATCTTAGCTGTCTATGTCGATAATTGTACGTACGCAATGAAGAGAAATGACTCGTCATTCATTGGTTCAAATTTGCTAATCTCTGATTGGTTACTTTTGTAAAACAAAAATATTATCTGTACAAATTAGGTGTGATAGGAAGAATCATTAATATCACAGATTTATCCGTCAGAATAGGCATGAATAATCTCAGCCATTATTAATGGATTACAATTACTGTTGATGTGGACCTCGACGATAAAATGAAGAGTTGACACATGATAAATAAAGAGTTAGGAATTATTTAATTTAACACTATGCCACGTGTTATTATAAGCTGGGTACTTTTGATATGGATTATATGCTCTTTCTTATCTATTCTAATAAATATTACAAGTTTTCTAAGTCCATATTGGTTAATACGTATTGAAACACCAGAAACGCGTCGTTTAACAACTTGTCCATATATTTATATGCATAATAATAATAATGATAATATCAGAGATTCCTTTTCAATAAATAATAATAATAAATCAGACAGAGAAATTATTCAGTTGACACCACCATCTATTGGACCATGGTTTCGATGTCAAAGTACCTGTTCAAAGTTATTCAATAATAATAACAATAATAATGATATATTGAATTGGGAATTATATGATGGTAGTTTGTTAAAGTGTCAATTATCTATGTGGGGATTTGGTGCTAAACCTGCTACAGCAAATAATATAATCTGGTTATCTGGTTTAATCAGTATGATTGGATGTATTCTACTGTGTATATCATTATTCTTTATTCTGCTGACATTATGTAAGCGGGAAATATGTGATCATAGTGTGTTCAGTTGTACTGGATCATTACTTGGCAGTGCTGGTGAGTACTGTTTTACGTATAATTAATTTATTCTATATGAGTATATATATTTATACATATTATATAAGTAGTATTTCTGTCTATCCTTAAATTGTCGAGAGGATGTAGTGAGTGGTGCAATCTAGGATATGCATTTCGTCCTATTTGGGACTCATCCGCTGAATGTGTCTTCTATCCCCAGTGAGTGATGGTGTTCTCACAATGACTCAAACCCAGCGCCAATCTTTTCAAACCCCAACGTATTATCTACTAAGTCATTTAGGCCATGACAGCCATCTCTTATGCATCGGGGATGAGTTATTATTTGTTTTAGCTAATTTTGCTTTTCCCGTTGGTCGATTGTTTTCGACCGAAATGCGCGGTTTCTGTATTTACAAGCTGGATATGCCTAGTGGCTTGATAAACAGCGCAGTGACATTTGAAACGATGGGTGTAGGGTACGAGCCCCAATGAGAAGACCACCATTCCCTTGGGATTGAGGGTACACCCAGCTGACAGATCCCAAATGGGATCTAATCACTGTTAGTCACCATCCATCAAATAACATTATTTTAATCCTCAGACACTGTTGAAGCGTTCCTACCAAGGTTAAGAGATAAAATCAATCACTGAGAAATACATGAATGAGTTAAACATGTTTGTAATATGTCTCACATATAACACTCATATTTCTTATTCATTGGTTAGCTTGTCAAAATAAAATCAAACTTCGGTCTGTCTTTAGAAATAATGGAGATTGTAGTTTGCGTTGGTAAAGCCCTCTATATGAGGACCTTTATTATCTGTTATTTCGGGTATGATTTTAGCCCTGTGAAGACCGTATTTCACATCTCACAGGGGGGGGGGAATCAGCAGTTCTCTGTGTCGCTCTTTATGACTGTAAGATATGACAAATGAAAATGGAAGACATTAAAAGGCCACCTGTCATTGACCACAGGCGTTTGCATTCTATCTCCCGTGTTAATTGGTACGATAGGGTGAGTAATATTGAGGTTAAGCGTTGATTGTTAGGTAAGGAGGCAAAGTCAATTGATGTGGTTGTGAAACTACATCGAGTGAGATTGTTAGAACATGTGTTACGCATGCCTAGCCATTGTCCATCTCTATGGGTAACAGCTAGTGGTGGTCAAACTAAAACTTAGAATCATTTAATGAAATCATTGACAATTAGTATGAGCCACTTAGGGGGGGTTGTAGACTGACCAGTTGGGATCCTCGAGATGATAAGAATTAATTGTTTGGAGACAATTGGTGATATAGCTCAAAATTGTTGCATCTATTCTTTGTCACCTGCCATACCCATTAAAGCATCTTGTTTCTCCATGTTACTGTTGTTTCTCCCATACAATTCTGATCATTAGAGTTCCCTTGAATTTCTGTTTTCCTCTCGTTTCTCTGGGGCAAGTGCTGCAGATAAGACTTATCAATTATGTACATATATATATGTTCATCGGCACTGAAAGAAACATCAAATAGCAGGGATATAGATTTTGATGTCAGAGAAAGCGAATGATACAGCGTTGCGGAGATACATTGGAGATGTGAAAGGAACACAAAGAAACACAATGTGGTGGAAGGCCAGAATTAGCACAACACGGAAGACTATCTGTGCAAATGGTGCTTTGAAGACAAGGTGTAGGTAATTTAGCTATATAGAAATGCCAAACGCAATTAAACATTCCCCCTTACCAAGTCTCTCGTCTTCTACGGCTACACTTCTACCTTTTTGTGCATTTGTGGAGTGTGGCAAATTGAACAACTGCACTTCTGTGCAAAGTTCTATGTTGAAACTTATTCAGTCAGTTAGTCATACAAATAGAAGTACAAGATACAGTTTCACTTCCAGGAACTGAATTAATCACAACATAATGATATCAGTAAAAGCGAATATAGTTTTCCTTCTTCGATTTTTCAATGTATGCGAATTGGTAGTCAGTGGAGCTATTGAATTAGTTGTCTGTTCTTTTAGAAAACCCGCAAATCAAGCAGGTTTTTATCAACTGCTATGCCCTAATATGGAGCATCTTTTAAACGATCTATAAGTTATTAATCCATTAGCGATTTATTACTATTATTATTAATCCATTGGGCTCCCAGTGGAACATACGGCTTCGACAGCGCGTATCCATTTTGTTCTGTTCCCTGAGGTTCTCTTTAAGCGACCTCACAATTGCTCATATCCTCCTGACACGATTTCCTCCATGTCTCCCTCTGACGCAAAACTCTTCGTCTCCTATTTGTCTTCCAAACGAGTAATGATCTGGCGCGCGACGTCATTCGGAATATTTATTAGGCAGTAGGTTCTTGACTAGTTCATTACCAGAATTTCTTGTTGATAATTTTCTATGCCCAGTCATCTTATCTTCACTATGGGGCCAGTGAAAGCAGCTGTTGATAAAAGTCTGCAATAGTCTGTTGAGAATGCTTTTCGTGACACCTGCGTTAAGTTTCTGACCCATGCAGAAGAACAGACTGACCTCACCGTGGTGGCCAAAATCGGAATTTCTTTCTTTATTGTGAGTTCATCAGATTTCCACAATGGTCTCATTGTGATGAACGGCTATCTTTCCTTTCCAATTTTTCGGACATCCACAACCGTGCTACTGCCTGTAGTTGAAATGTTACTGTCTAGGTAAATGAAGGAAGTAACATATTTCAAATTTCTTCCGTCGATAGTGATTGGTGCTTGTTGTTGTTGCTGCTGGTTGGTTATCTTCATCACCTCTATCTTCTCTTTGTTAATTTGAAGTCCTGTTGTCAAATATTCGGATTGCAGAGATCATTGACTTATCACTGGTTTCAGAATACTAAGCCTAATACTTAGATGACTATGCACTGTAACAGACGCAGAACAACAAAAAACGTTTTGGTAACACGGCTGTTTATTTTTCAACCGATAACGAAACAGATTTACCATGGTTAGTCAGTACCAAAGTCCATGAATAAACGTTAATATAATATACAACAATCCTTCTGATCATATTTCTCCAATCTTCTGCCATCCAGTACACAATTAAGCACAATGACAGACGTCTTGTCTCCCGCCAGTATGGAGACCAGTTCGAATAAAATAACCATTCAATGCTCACCAACACTGAAACCTGTCTTTGCTGCTTTTCCTGACAACTTGTTAGTTTTCACCTTTAGATCGAGTTTGTATGAAATGGAACATAAGTTATCCGCGAAGTCTACATCTTCTAGAGTCTTCTTATCGTAATCTAGTGGTGGTACGTTACATATAACAGTAGTTTTTCTGGTCAGTACATAAATATATATGTACCCTATAAGCAAACCTATCACGATATAAACCAGTGACATTGAGACTGGTTGATACAGATCCAAATTTTACACTGAACATTAATTTCCTCAAGAATGAAGAGATCCCATGAGGATTGATACCAGCAAGAGAGAAGTTTATATGGAGAAGAGCTTCCAGTCAACTGGTCTCCCTCAACATCCAATTATCATTGGTTTATCCTTAAATGGGAAAATATGTAGCTGACATTTTATGCTATTATCGACACTTGATTCAAAGTAATGCTATGACGTATCAATCCAATTAAAATCCAGTCAAAAGATTATAACAGAAAAGTGAACAGTACTGTTAAGAGAAAGGTTAAATATCGACCCATCATATCTATCTTCCTTGTTTTAGGAAAAAAAACCCATTAAAATTATTGTTTCCTGCGGATATCATAAATCTCCAATATGAAAACTCATCATCCTTCATGATGTTGTATCTATAGTTTTGTTTGTAAAATAACCCTCCAACTCTAATACATCTTGACCAATACTCTCATGACAAGAAAGAAAAAAGATAATTCAAAGTCATATACCTCAGGAATCCTGTCTTCCTAATCGATTGTTTTTCTGAATCACTGTGTGACCTTGAATTCGATTTTAGCAGTTCCAATTTCAAATATATTTGTTGAAATATATACATTTTTAAAAAAAGGTTAGACTGATAATTTAGCTGTTCATTGTCACATGATCTAAAGGAGAGCTTTGTGTGCTTTTGGAAGTGTGTGTGAGCGCTTATTACATCCCGGCTACCCACATTGTAGAAGTTGACTTTTTCCTGAAGTACTTGAAACTGAAAGAGAGTTAGTTTTTGCATGACATTTGAGCCCAGGAAACAAATACTTGAGGCCGATCACAGACACATACGGTCCGTCTGAACTGGGTTTTAGGGTTATTTACGTATTAGTAAATTACTTCCGACCACGGACCATCGTCTAGTGATGTGCTTCATTCCCGTCCTGTCGACTGATGAAAGCTAGAATGGTGGCTCTGAGTGATATATATATATATATTTTACGAGTTTGACTACAGATTGATATCAGGTCCCAGTAGCTGAATGGTATACGAGCTTGCCTTGTAACCAGAAGGTCCTGGGTTCGAACCCTGGCGGTGGGTGCTTACTGCCGATGATTCCCAAACTAGTAGGACGAAAAAGCTGTCCGGTACTCCAGTGCTAGTTTTCAATGGTTCTCTAACTGATATCAATCCGTGGTGAAACTGGTAAAAACAAATTTAATCCTTACAAAACAACTCTTGAAAAACATATATATATATATATATATATATAGAGAGAGAGAGAGAGAGAGCAAATTGTTTTAGCAATATAAGGAATATTTTCAAGGATGTGTCATTAGAATTGTAAATTCTATATAACAAATTTCGTTAATCGGTTATAAACTAAAATAATATTAAATAAGCAAGCTGAGTGACGTAATCTAATTGACGGCGTTGAGTAGAGCTCAACTAAAATTAAAATTCATGTATAATCCCCATCCAGGCATTAATGAAAACAAAACACGTAGATCAGCGAAGAGTCTCTTTTCGGCGGTGAATTCATTTTCTTAGCTGTACAGTCGCAAATATATATATATATACGTGTTATTTTGTATGTATGTGTACAATAAGTTTATCAAACGAAAATACATTTGGTTATAGTTATTTAAACTAAACAGGTGAAGATTGGTAATCGGAGTTACGTA